TTACCTCTCAGTGTCTTATATTACTTTATTGTTTAATCTGTATATTCTTATTATATATCTGTTAATTATATTTTCATTATATATCTGATATTTAATTGCTTGATTATCTCTGTAACATTATTTAGATTATCACTATATTGTCGTGTGGTGTGATGATTCTTAGTTGCTTATAGATGCTTATACTATTCTCGTTATAACATTAATAGAATCACTATTTCTTTTTCTTTATTATTTATTCGATTGCTCGTTTTATTATATCTAGTAATGTAGTAGCTTTACTTGGTTAATTTCCCGACCCAACTCTGCTCCCCTGCTGCCTTGATGTCATTGACCAAAGGTATTTTTTGTGTAATTGATTTTGATATCACCTATCGAGTTCAGGTTAGTGCTTATTACTGATGCGTTTTTATTATCTTATCACTTGAGGTTTTTGTTATTTTCGTGTCGATTCATTATCATTTACTATCGAGTATTTTGATTTTATTCTACTTCATTAAGCCGGAGTGTATCATCATCTATTCAGTGTTGATAGCGTATTGATGATGATAATCATAATTAAGTAGGGTATGATATGGAATAAATTGAACAACGTACCGGCGAGTGTTTTACTTATGATTATAGATGAAGTAGAAGATAATAGTGTATAGAGTCACTATAATGACACCTATTATCATGATAGATAAAGATTGAGTAGTATGATTTCAAATCTTATTTACTTACTAATGTTGTTTATTTATTATCATATCATTTAACTCTACTGTCTTCGTACTTACTACAATTTTATCCCTCCAAATTACCATCCCTATCATATATCTCTCTCATATGGTATTGTGTATCAATTTAGTTCCTTCATTTCTTGAGTTGACCATACATTCATTAGTCGAGCTATCTCTATTATGTCATGCCTATCTTTTATTCTTATTTATTATCAATTATGTCAATTTATTTATGACGTTTAGGGTATCTTACTGTGAGAATCATTGTTAACTCTGTTACTAATTAATATTAGTAAGTATAGTAGGAGAGTATCATCTCTCCATATACATTACTATCAATTACTAATCTTATTATATAAATGTTACCAATTTAGATAATCATCTTAATATACCATACTACTAATTTTGGATCTTACACTATATTTCAATCAATAAAATTAGCCAGAATAATACCCATACCTAATGGAGTTTCTGATCTTCGTACTCACATTAGTAAAACCAGAGATATATATTAATTATATAACGTTATAAGTATTCCGTATGTTATATCTACATTATTCATACTTGGTGTATATAAGTTACTAAGTATAATATATTTTAATTAACATTTATCTAAATACTTATACGACTTAAACAATACATCTATAACAGTACAGGTATTTATACTCAACTTATGCTATATTATTATTATATTTACCAGTATAATTTTATTATGTCTTCTACTTATTGTAAGAATAGTTTGTAAAAATTACTTCACCATATTAATAACCGGTGGGTATAATTACTTAGATTATATCCTCCCAGTAGTGTGTTTAGTGAGAGCGAAAAAACATACAAAGTTTTATATATATTAAGTAAAAAAAAAAAAGAAAAAAAAAATATTAGTTACCGTTATTCCTTATATCGTAATCGTATTGAATAGCATATAACATATATCTATGACTAATATTTACATAAATTTATTATAAATACTATAGCATATATTAAAGTATAGTAACCGAAAATATATATATAGGACTGGATCAGAGAGAGAGTGTAGATTTGAGAAGTAGAGGACTGAAGACCGAATGCAAAAGAATATGGAAAGGGAATTATACCAGGAATTTTTGTATAGCTTGCTCCATTAGGGGATTCCGAAAAGAGAGAGATAAACCCGAGATCAAGGCTCTATCGCATGTACGGACACTCTCCTTTATAGTGGAGAGAACTTCCATTTGTCCAAGTATTTGAATAAACCCTTGTGTGACAATTCGGCTCAATTCACAAATAAGTGCCTTTAGATAGACAGGGCGTGATTTCCTCCTGAGTTTGATATAAAATCATGTTCAAAATTAATACCTAATCCGTGTAGGAGGATTATTTCTATGATTCAGAACCCTAGTTCGTTAGTTCTTTTTAGCTAGTTTATCCGCTGTCTTAGTCTGAATCAGCATTATGTGGAAAGTGAGGTCAATTTATATCATGGACCTCTCTCTGTGTGTTGTTTATAGAACATTATACTGGCCAATCAAACTAAATTAAAGGTGTACTCAAATTTCTCGGTAGTTTGATAGTCTATCCCAAGATGGTAATTTTTCTTTATAATCTAGAAATCCTGCAAGGGAATAGTTCTGTAAGCATGTGATACATAACTGTGTTAAATCATATGTTTTTCCAATAAAAAAGATGGACCTTTCAATAGTTGAGGTATGTAGATCATTCTTTTATGTGTGCACATGTAATACGTTTTCGAATACAACTTTGTATTTTTTGATATTGAATAACGAAAATACTTGTGGACCTTCATGCCATTACTCCACGTTTTACGACATTTTGAGATGCTCGCGTTTAATTAGTGGTACTGTCATATTCTAACGAGTTAGATTATGCATCATCTGTATAGCACTCGTGGCCGCAGACGCTCTGCGCCACACACCCACACTACACATCACACCTAACACCACAATACGTATACGTATAATATTGATATATTGTATGTTAGATATTATTACTATTAATGTGATTATTTAATCACTATAGTTGAATATTATAGTAGTATTATCATAATGATTTTGTATCAAAACTATATGCACACACACACACAACATCACACAAATCACCACGAACAAAAACAAGCATCTAATAATACAAAGTATAATATATAAATATATTAATATATAACATATTGTATATATCCTGTCCTCTATGATATACTTATTATTAGGTTAGTCTATGATGATACATTGATCAGAAGATTATGTATATGGTGTAACAGTGCAAATATATTATTAAAAAGGATAGTAGGATATTAGTTAATGATATAGTATGTGAGCGGTAGCGTTATAGTTAATCGGTGTTGTGTTTCTAATATTTAAAATTATATTATTTTATTAATTAATATACGATATAAAACAATATAGTAATAGCAGCAAAAATATATATATATTAATTTATATATGTTATGTATGGTAATTTCATAATAGATAATGAGCTATATATAAGGTATAGAATAGTAATAATATACTACCATGTTTCACATCTTATATATACTGTACAGATAGTCGATTATAATAGATACTATGCTTATAGAGTGGACATATGGATGATCGATGTTACTTTAGTGCGGCTAGTGTGTGGATAAGTGATACTGTGTGGTGTGTGCAGTATTATACCACATACACGATAATGCTATTTTTTATATCCACGGATGTCTCTTACATCTCATGATTGTATTGCCATACTAGACGACACATAAGAGCAGTTACGTGACCACTCGTAAAAACGGCCTTCATCTGTTTATAGATTGAAAACTGCTCGACGACCTGACAGCCGGTCGTTCCCAGAGGCGCTTAAAAGCGAGGCGTGGTAAAATGAGGCAGAGCGACACACTAAAGTCACCTTGATTCTGTTTTTATTCTGCTTCTGATTAATAGTCCACATAATTCATCGTTGTTTAACCGCCCTCATTGTCCGTTGTGAGCATGGTCAGCGCCGGATACTAGATGAGTGTAAATAAGCATA